ATTAGGGTTAGGGTTAGGGTTAGGGTTAGGGAGGAGTACCCATTGGAGATCAAGATATTCTTCCATAACTTTTTTTTTGTAGGTCATAGAGACTTGGAAGTTGGTTCCATCTCCACTAATGTGGCTATGCCCGATCCATTGGTACCACCCCCGAGCTTCTACGACCTTTGGAAGGAGAGGGTGAGGTGAGGGGTGTTCAGCTGCAACATGACACTTCAACACTAGATATCACTAACTTCTACACACTGTACCTTGAAAGTGTAATGTCACAATACTGTCAGTTATGTAAGAAAAATGAGTTGAGGACAAAAAGTCATTGGATTAAAATGATTTATTTGTTGAAATGAACTCAGTCATAGTTTTTATAAAAGCTTCTAATTGAAGCAGACAGATGTGATGATGCATCACAACAACAACTTGGTGACTTTTCCAAGAAACACTGCACTCAAAATGAGCAGGGGAACATCCGTCTTTACAAAAGACAAACAGAACGAGATTAATCATCATTAAGTTTTACATTAAAACGTTTCTAGATGACCTTAAAACTGATCTCAGATCAGATCAAGTACAGAAAATCACAAAGTGATCAATGCTGTTATACGTCAGGTCCTTTTTGTAAAACAAACATCACTGGGATGTATCAGCTTAATCATGAAACCTTTTCAACAAAAGGATAAAAATATAAAATGACCTGATAACTGATCAAATATCAAAGACATTAAAAATTTAGTCAATTCTGTAAAAGTGTCCACACAGGGGACAAATAGTTTTTGACCTTTGTGAAGTAGTTTACTCCACTAACGACAAAGTGATGGTACAGTGATACACAGTAGTAAACAGTCGTTCATGTTTGACTGGATTCCTGCACGATGACAAAGATTCTTTCTTAATATGAAAGATAAAGTTTCTCCTCTTTTTCCACAGGAAGTTAAAGTTTGTCTCAACAAGAAAGTTTGAAATACACAGTTATGTATTTAAGAACTTTCTGTTTTGACATGAAGCAAAATCTTTTGACAAACAGATAAAAGTTTGGATCTTAAAACAGATCAGAGAGATGAAGTAAAGTAAAGAATTATAAGACAATATGTCCACATTAGTGTTCCGAATAAAAACACAACAGTCANAAAATGATCTGTATTGTCTGTTCAAATATGCAAGTCAGTAGTTATTGTTTGTTTAGCTTTTCTTTCACATCCCTTTCTTTTTACTTTCCAATGGACACATTTAAACATTAGATCCAAATATTTAAGCAACATCAGAATCATAATTTCTCTCTCAGACACACTTTTAGTCTTGGAGAAGCAATCAGTAATAATAGTACT